TTTTTTTTTTTTTTTTTTTAAATTATTCTTTTCCATCAATTTTATTTTTCACAAATTAAAAAAAAGAATATTTTTCTACAGATTAGATAGATTCAATTATCGAAAATGATAAAGATCGGAAATGATATCGAATTCTGTTTCCAGAACAGTAAAGTAACAAGTTTGCATCGAGCAATTAAAGTTTTTTAAACGAATTCTTTCTTGTCCAATTTATCGAACATGTGTTACGTTTATTTAATTATATCAAAGATATTTAAATATACATATATGTGTTTACCAAAAGAAAAGGATATTATTCAATAAATATACATTTGTGTCGTATTCGCATCATATGTTAAATAAATGCAGATATAATTATACACGTACTCCCATTGACTATGAATATATTTGCATATTTAATTATTAATCGTTAAAACTACTTAAATTTCATTTGCATATTTATGGCACTCGAGCGAATAACATATTGATAATTCTGAGAGATTGAAAAACGAAAGTAGATCGATTAAAACTGTACAAATATTCATTGTAAACTATTTTCTACAATTATATTTATACAAATATAAAAAAAATTCCTATTATATCCTCTTCGAGAATTAAAAGATTTCTTAAAAGTTCAAACGAACCAATAAAACGATAAAATTGATTTTTTTAATCCTCATTATCTCCACCATTATCGATTTATCAAAAAAGAAAATAAAAAAAAATTAAATTTATCAAAGCAATATATGACCATTCTCCACGCAAAAATTTAAAAATTATTTTATTTTATCTTCTTCGAGGATCAAATATTGCAAAATTACAATTTAAATTAACTTTTTTTATCAATTAATCTCCATTATTTTCCATTACTGATTCACCAAAAAATTAAACGATATATGGCGACCATTACGCAAAATATTGAAACTCTGTTATTTCATCCTCCTCGAGGATCAAAAATTCCAAAATTACAACTTAAAAGATTTCCTTCCAAAACTTCCAACGAAATGAACTTTCCCCATCAGTTGATCTCCATTATTTTCCATTACTGATTCACCCAAAAGGGAAAAAATTGAGTGATTTATCGAAGCAATATGGCGGCCGTTTCCCTGAGAACCGGGAGCGCATATTTGCGCCGCCATATTGGTTTGCGCAAACTTTTCCAAACGCGCAAACAACATCCTGTTTTTGATAAATGAAACAAGCTTGGGTGAAGATTTAAAGCGTCCCACGGGCTCGACATCGGCTCGAAATTTAACGCTTTCCAACTTTCGCCCGTTTCGTTCCGAAATAAATGGCGCGCTCGCGCTCTCTACACGCCTCGTCCTCCCGCGAAACTATTTGGAAATGATCTCTCTCCCTCTCTCCCTCTCTCCC